ATTTAGAGAACAAAGTACTGTATAATATTACAATACTAAAGTGTGCGACCCTACCCCATATGCGTCTAAAACTTAGATATACACAGATAAAAAATACAAATTATTTTTTTATGCTATTGGGTTGTTAGCTCTTTGGCACACTCACCAAATTTGACATAACGCATATAATACATGTTAAATAGTTATTTAGTATAGTTTGTCAAATCGAACAATTTTATCTAACCGCTTAATCGGCTAATCTTTCGACCGATTAACCGGTTAATCGATATCAAAGTTGATATTCATAGACTATGTCTACAGTATATACTTAACGAATCTATTTAGATTTATCATGACATTCTTTACTAGATCATTCTGTATTGTCTGTATGTAAATGGTACGATTGATTGATTGATTATTTGGCTTTACGTTCAGTGGCAAATATATCATATAAAAAATAGGAACGGATGTGGTATAATTGCCAACGAGACAACTCTTCACCAGAGACCAAATGACATAGAAGTTAACAGCTATAGGTCACCGTACGATCTTCAACAATGAGCAAAACCCATACCGCATAGTCAGCTATAAAAGGCCCCGAAATGACAAATGTAAAACAATTCAAACGAGAAAGCTTACGGCCTAATGTTTGTGCAAAATAATGAAAGAAAAAACAAATATGATATACAACAACAAACGACAACCACTGAATTACAGGCTGCTGACTTGGGACAGGCACATACAGAATGTTGCGGGGTTAAACATGTTTGAAGGCGCTAACCCTCCCCTGACTTTGGACAGTGATGTAACGACACAAACCAAGAAAATACTATGCAAACCAAATAACGAAAACAAAATATGAGAAACAGCAAAAAACGACAACCACTCAATTACAGGCTCCTGACTTGGGACAGGCACACATAGAATGTGGCGGGGTTAAACTAGTTTGAAGACGCCAATCCTCTCCCTAATCTGGGACAGTGGTGTAACAGTACAACATAAGAACACACTATAAAATCAGTTGGAAAGGGTTTAAATCATCAGAATAATACAGAGCAGAAATACATCCAACAAAAACACAGACCGGACATGGCAGGGTAGTTATCATGTCATCCCCACAACAAAATAGACCCGAAGTACAGACAACATTCGAATGGCAATACGTATTACAGAAAAAAAAAAAAAAATCAGAGCATCATATTGTCAAACTTCTAGTAAACGGTTACCGTAAATTGGGAAATTTTGGCGTCGGGATATTCTGGCGTTTTTCTCTCGAAAGGCATGTGTTTTATTTTGGTGTGTATAATTTTGGTGCTTCGTCTAATTTTTAATTTTGGAACAACAGTAGTGAGCAAGATCATTCATATTTGCCTTTATTTACCCGTTTATTGACAAAATATCATTTAATTTCTCAAACTAGAAACACGACAAAACTTAATGAAGAAGTCGGATACGAATGCAATTACAAAATAATTCCGTTTATCGTGGTTCAAAGCTGAAAGAAAATATGAAATAAAATCTTAAACATTAAAATCACTTTTTAAATAGATTATTTATTCTTTACAAATATCTTATGAAATAAATTTTAATCATCTCTATTGCAGTATATTACGAACGTTCACCTAATCTGACCCAGTCAATGGGATATTTTAGCGCGCCAATCAATGGTCTCGCCTACACTGTTTTGCACATGATTCTAATCTATTGACGATCAAGGATTTAAATTTCAACCCTTATGCCTCTGGCAGTACAAATAACGGCGTCTAATCAGCAATAGGCTGGCATATTTATGACATGTGTGAATAAAAATTCATGTTGTGACTTCTTAACAATTTCAGAAAATTGACAATAAAGTAAAAATTATATAGTGTTGTTGTCCAATTTTACCAGGTATTTATTTGCGGATTTGGCTATGTATAGAAATGTAGGAAATATACGGAAGATAAAATAACATAAAATATTTTCCCCAAAAATTAACATTACGATATTGTCGTACCGGTAGATTTTGGCGTTTCAATTTTTAGTGTTTGTTTAATTTTCGTGTGTTTAATTTTGGCCCTTTCATTGGAGGCAACAAATAAACCAAAATAAAACTACAACCTTACGGTATAAGCAGGGTTACAGAAAAATCTAGATTTCATACAAAAATTGATTTTTGTGTACAAGACGTCGTTTGTCAAATTTTAGTGAATATTCAAAACGGAAAAATAATGCATTTAAGGAACAACCCTTTCATTTAAAGGGGAGGGGGTATGATATTTTGATGAAGAAAAAAAAATTCCTAAGGGAAGAAAAATAAATAAGCTGTCGTAGCATTGGCCACACTATTCTAATATAACAACTTGCTGCCACACAACTTAAAAAAAACCAACATTTCAAAACCAGGCATTGCATGATACTTTATAATTTGTTTAATACGGTAATTTTAGCATTTGAATGCATGCAGCGTTTACTTACAATCAAACTTGTGGGCGGGTATCCAATTGTGTGAACATAATACGTCAATTTGATTGGTTAAAATGAATTATAGATAAATATGTAGACAAGCCGATGGTGATTTAAAATAGGCATTCTTTTAATAACTATCGAATAGTACCACATGAGTATGACTTAGACATGTTAGAGCATACAGTATCTGTAAAGTACGTTAAACATCGCTAACCGACGTCGAACTGTTGAATACCAACAACGAGGAACCATTTTTCATCGAGTTGTGTAATCGCTCTGATATGGATCAAAACGGAATTAATATTTTATGTGGATTGTTATTGATGACGGAATGATATTTTTTGGATCATATTTGTAGATAATACAAGGATTTGAAAAATTAATAGTCCTTGGTTTTAATATTAAATAACATGAATGATAAAACTTTCAAGAAGTCAAAAAAGTAGCCGAGGAAGAAACATAAAAAAACCAGAACATTTCCTTTGGCTTTTTTTTACTTTTCGCTTGTCGCTTATTGCAGCTGAACAAGTAGTAATAATAATTATAAGAGTAGGAATTTTTCGTATTTAAAAACACGATTGACGTGTTACCAGTGTTTTCAGTGAGATGAGATAGCAGTCACTTCATGGAAATATTTGTATTATGTATTAAATAAATTTAATTAATCATGACTATACGCATATCATGTATAATCAAACGACACCATAGTTACAAAATCTTTCATTTTCAAATCTGCGAGCCGCTATTACCCAACAGCAATATGTACACTAAACAAGTATTTATACAGAAAACAAGGAATGAACTAAATGCAAATATAACTATAAATCTACAGTTCATTTCAATAATATAAATGGTTGCAAACAACAACATTTCAAATCATTTGCACACCACATAAACGGTCTGGCATGTTAATGTTTCCTATATATTTACAAAGGTTTTGCATATATGCAAAGGAGTAGGGGCAATAAGGCCCTAATTTGGCCCAAATATTACTGCAAATTTAAAAGTTATCATACATATTCTTAAATTACTCAAAACTAGACAAAAGTACAAGATACTCAGAAAATAAAAACAAATTTCACATTGAACGAGTTACCATGGCAACAAACCATGACTAAATTTGCATATTTTGTAAAATTTCTTGATTTTACTTATTTTTCATCAAATTTTAAGTATATTTTAGATTCGAAAAGTTTGTGCGCACCCAAGAAACAACTTTATATTTGGCGAGATTATGTCAATAGTTATAATAAAGCTTCTCTTAAATTATTTTGTTGTTTCTTGGCTGCGCACGATGTTTCCACAATGGAAATAACGATGGAAAAATACATAAATTCTGTATTTTTCATCGTTCTTGTGAAAACGGTACATATTATGACGTAATTGTGACGTCATCAGATAAAAATCTTTATGTTTTTCATTTATATTTCTTGACTGTATGCATTTCCAAACATTATGTGCCATTTGAAATAGTTATCAAACATTTTATTTTCTTGGGCCAAAACCATGCCTTAATGCCCCTACTCCTTTCCATAATGCCGTTATCTTTGGATAGCTTAAAAATTATTCACAAATGATAAGGATGCCCATTACTTTATGTTGGTTTGAAAGATGCAAATATTTAAATATTTGCCTTATCGGGTCACCAGGTTCAAACATAAGATGCCTAACCATATTTGCATATGTATGCAAATGAAATACTGCTTATACCTATAGAAATTTGAAAATTTAACTTTGACACAAAACCTGTAAAATTAAAACAAAATATCAATTTTAAAGAAACATTTAGTGAATGTAAAAGATAAACGAAATATCAACTTTTAATTGATATTTTCTCAAGCTATAAATCATTTTAAAAAGTCATATTTGCATGCACTCAAGACATAAGCATTTACATACTATTGCAAATTTAACTATTTCCGTACAATACCACACGCTAGCAAAATTTAGCGCATGGTCACGTTTAATGATGGTGTGATTTTTTTTTATTTGTATTGATTTCAAAACGATTGCTCAGGATAGAGAATCGTACCGAGTTCACACACTTTACCCACGTTTTATATGATATGTAAAAGGCGGCCGCGCCTACCTGCAACACCATGGATGTTTATGGGGAAATATTAAGATTTATTGTCAACAAAGATAGCACAAACATATTTACAGCCTAGTAAAGTTTATCTAAATATGTGCCTTTATTTATGTTTATCATATATTTACAAACGTATGTAAATCGACCTTTTCATGCAGTGTAAGGACAAAACGAATCAATATGTTTTGTAATGTAGCTAGAAACAAACTCTATAGACAAGAGACGAAAGATATCAAAGGGATATTCAAACTCATAAATCTAAACAAACTGACGATGCCATGTTTAAAAACGATAAACGATCATAAATAACAGTATACAAAACACAACATAGAAATATAGATCTTTTCAAAATTATGCGAGAGGAACCATCTTATCAACATCAATTACTTGCATGTGTACATTTTGTACAACAATTATAATATATCAATCACACAATTTTTTCCTTCCATAAGTACTTTATATTGAAAGCATACGCTTAACTCACCAAATAATACCTAGAAAATATGGAAAAACCGTGAGTGCAATGCCTATCTGGATGTATCGCCAATCATGCAACCACCAACAAAGACATGCATAAAGCATTCCAAACAGTTCTCTACATGGTAGAAATCTAAGCATAGATCTTGATTGTCGTGGTGTGAACTCGATAACAAATGTGAAATTTAAAGAAGTAGTAAATCCACTCCAAAAACCAATAAAAAATCTGAATACTGCAAACATTTCCCACGTGGATGAAAAAGCAGCCGCAGTGTTAAGTGATATAATTGCGAACAATGCACAAACGTATGTACGTTTACGTCCAATGGCGTCTGCAACGTGACCAGAAACAAATCCGCCAGTTATCAAACCTCCCATTTGTAATGTTGTAATGGTGGATGGAACCCAACTCTTATCGCATACCAAGTCCCACTGAAATAAATAAATAGAACCCCTGACATGATTTGTAACATTATATATCTGAAATTTGTCCTTAATAATCTAGGAAATAAAAGAGCAACTATTACAAAAATTACAAAAAATCATCAAAGATATCAGGCTTACAAATTGGTACGCCAGAAACGCATTTGGTCTAAATGAAACTAATCAGTGTCACGCGGATAACAGTTGGAAGGGAAAATCAAAAACGAAATTGAAGAGCACTAAAGATTAAAAGTTCCGAACAGGTTAAAAAAGTCGAGTTTATATATGTTAAGCTGTTCTGTTGTGGTATCTTTTGGTCATATAGCTTTACAAGTATTTATACATCTATGATTTCCAATATTAAGTTTTAAGCGTTCTTTATGAAGATAATCCAGAAAAGTGCATCAGACGCAAACAATTTGAAAAGTGTAATTTTCATTTTATGTATTGATAACAATCGGCAAAGGTAACTTTTGAAAACTTTACTGTTTGATCGGATTTTCGTCTGTGAAGTTTTATACATACAAGTACATGCATATTTATTTCTTGTTTCAGATGTTGAGACAATTATGGACAAAATGCATGAGATCTAGTGCGGAAAGAAGTTTCACCACATTTAAACCCTAAGACAAATACCTCTTACAGCAATCGTTTTATTTATACCCCTTTAAGTAGTTGTTTGCTACAGACAGAAAAGTAATAAGCTTTCCCTGATCGATCTACAACAATAAATCTGGTTGAATTACTTACCAAGAAATGCTGTAATCACTTGTTACTACATTTCGGTACGTTAAACAAATAAAATTGGCAACATTGAATATTGTGTAAGGTAAGAATGTTTATGTTGATGAATCACATTTATAACTGTTTTTAAAGGTTGATTGACGATAGTTTTGGTTCTTCCGATCAGGAAATTACAGATGTTTTGTTGTCAAAGAGTTTGGTCTCAAATGTACAATATTTATGATATTTCAGAACAAATGAAAAGCAATGAAGATAATGAAAATAAACGTGTATTATACTGTATGTATGTACACATCCGGACATGTAGCAGTGACATCAAAAATATAGCTGTAGCATATGATATGCATGGCTAAGTAAAAAAGGAAATTCTCTTTTGCCTCCCAACTGACTATGAAAAGCTTCTTCCTTTCGTCACAAATTTATCAAATAAATGAAGTTTTTTATCGTTAGAGCAGACCCCGATTTGAATTTGCGCTCACTTATTTAGTCAAATGCTTAATGAATTTGACCAAAACCGAATACAAAAAGTGTCATAACATTGGAAATACCGAATGATGTTCAAAGGTGCAATCGCGAATTACCTTGTGTATAGTATAATCAGGAACGGACTTGAAGAAAACATGTGAAAGAAACCCCAGATTTGGTTAATATAAAAAAAATGTAATTCAAGAGCCCTTAGAAAGTGTTTCTAAAAGAATCATTAGATACGCCCAAGTGCAGAAAACTTAAAAAGCTATAGAAATAAAAGCATTTGGAAGACAAAACAGAAATAGAACCAAATACCAGGTGTCATTTCTAAATAACTTTAAAAACTTTATTTTACAATGTTTTGATCGCGTTTATATTTGTTATATAACAAGATTCGTATAAAAAGGAGACGTGGTTATGATTTCTAATGAGACAACTATCCACAAAAATTCAAATGAAGTGGGTGTTAGCAATAATAGCCAATCGTACGGCCTTCAACAATGACAAAATCCCGTAGTTAGCTAGAATATAACTCATCAAGATTAACTAATATTTAATTATTCTCAGAATAAAAACCAATCACGTATTGCTGAGAGCATTTCTTCTATAAAAGACACTACTTTTTTTTAACATGACGAGTTCATTTTATGTCATGAACATATGTTGTTTCTGACTAACTTAATTCTTTTAAGTATGATACCACCCTGTATTTGTCTTTGAAATTCAGTGTTGTCGTAGAGCAGATTTTCAACCAATCGGAAAATATTGTTAACCTGTATTCGCCTAGGTAACGATCTGCTTGATCCCCTTCTCATTTATATCTTATTTATATCGTTCTTCCATACCAAGTATAAGTAACATACCTCTGACACAACAGTGTTCATACCGGGATCATAAAGCCTCCTTTTACACAGTACAGAATTATAACTATCTTTAAATTCACATATTTTCAAGTCTGAAATATTATCTGATTTAGTAAAATTCAGGCCATCTAATGTAGTCAGGTCACACCGCCAATTCGGAACAGCCGCACCAAATGCCATCATCAAATTACACCAATTATCTGATATGTTGCTTCCAAATAAAAGAAGTATTAGTATCCATTGAAAGGGTCCAAGTCCTCCAATATTGTCTATAGTTTCTTCTAAATATTCATTGAGGTCTGTCATTTGTATCCTGATCTAAAACAAAGAATAGTTATATACTCAGTTAAACTATACAAGTTTTGATCAACATTTCAATCTTAACGAAAAATTATAAGATAAGAATAAAATGTATGTGTTTTGATAATTGGACAACTATTCACAAAAGATCAAATGACAAAGATCGGAACAATTGGTTATTCATTGTTTATAACTAACCTTAATACGTCTTGGTATTTGAAAAAGAAGATAAAATGTCTATAGTTTATCGTTCTTGAATTTAGTATATCGACTTTCAGCCTACAACCGGTAAGGACGTATGTAGATGTCCCTCATACCTCACAGGAGCAAACTCGCAAAGTATCTACTGCCTCATACCCTGCAGGGAATTACTTTTAGATAGTTGAACGAAGTCTCCCACCAGATTGCAAATGCAGTAGAAATGTACGTCCCATGTTATAACAGGAGACCTTAACATCGTTCGCGCACGAGAGTTAAAATCATTCCTCAGTAAAGGACCTAAATATCGTCCTCCGTCAATTATTAATTGGAATGAGTGTCGTAATATCATCCACGACTCACTTCGTGCTTACTGTTTGAAATGGATAAAACGGGAAAAAGCTGACAAAAAATCTTTGGACTCTTTTTTGAATTCAGTAATGAAGATAGTTGATTTACGTATACAACATTTTTAAGAACATTTTACTCTTAACAACAACCATAAAAATCCTATTTCTCGTATCAAACATAAACTAAAAGAACTAGCCAAGGCATTTGTTTTTGTCCCGGCTGATAAAGCTGCTAATAATATCATTAGAGTTTGACGTAAATTTTACATTGAGGTTCTGCAAAAGGAAATCACGAATTCACCAACATTCCAACTGACTTTATTTTCAGAAAACGATATCTGTAACAAACATAAACTATTAGATACTTCTTTACAAGCAGAACCAAATACAATGAAAGTCCCAACTATGTACTGGCTTCCGAAGCTACACAAATCACCATTCAAATATAGATTTATTTCGTCTTCAAGTCATTGTTCCACTACTAAATTGTCTATTCTACTTACTAGTACACTTGGAACAATCAAAAACCTGATAATAAATTGTTCAAATAAGGCCTTTGAAAATAGTGGAATTAACTACTTTTGGAGTGTCAAAAACTCGTTCGAAGTACTTGATAAATTGCATGCATATATTGGTGATTTTGAATCTGTTCAAAGTTTTGATTGTTCTACCCTATATACCACTTTGCCTCATATTCTTATTAAGAAAAAATTCACACACCTAATTAAATGGACATTTAAAAAGTCAGAATGCGAATATATATGTTCAAACTCTTTTAGGTCATTTTTTAGTAGCAACAAACAAAAGAGCTATGTCAATTGGACATGCTTTGATACTATATCTGCCCTTGATTTTTTACTTGATAACATTTTTGTTCGCTTTGGAAATTCCGTATATCGTCAAGTTATCGGAATTCCAATGGGGACTAACTGTGCACCACTTATTGTTGACCTGTTTTTGTATTGTTATGAGTTACAATTTATGACTAAAATCAGCAAAGACCCATCGAAACAACATCTGATACAAAAATTTAACAATACTTTTAGATATTTGGATGATATATTGGCTCTCAATAATGACGACTTCAGTGTGTATACTAAAGAAATTTATCCTGTTGAACTTACTAACAATGACCACTGTCCTTTCCTCGAGCTTGATATCTATATCATTTACGGTAAGCTTAATATAAAAAATTTTGATAAAAGAGATGATTTTTCATTTCCTATCGTTAATTATTCATTTTTAGATGGTGACGTTCCCTTGTCACTATCTTATGGTGTTTATATATCTCAGCTTGTACGATTCGCTCGTTTATGTAACAACGTATTAGATTTTAGCGAGAGAAATTTATGTTTCACTGAAAAATTATTACTCCAGGGTTTTCGATATCATAAACTAGTCAAAACTTTTACTAAATTTTATCTTCGGTATAAGGACACCATTCGTAAATAAAACTCAACATGCAGACATCTTATACGTTCGGGTATTTCACATCCAATCTTTTATGGTAATATTCTTTACAAAGCACAAAAATGTCAGTATTCACCTCAAAAGCTAACAAAACCTTTAAACAGACTTATTAAGAAGGGATATAGTTACGATACTGTTGTCAGGTCATTAAAGATTGCATAATTTGGCTTTAATATTGATTCACTTATAGGGTCTTTGCATCGGAATTAAACATATTTATTCTAAAACCAGTTATTGGCATGACACGGGTTATGTTCTTCTCATATATTTTATGATGGTATAATACTAAACCCCTAACAGGAGGGATTGTGCCTGATATTCATATGATGAAGACATAATCTTTCAATCATTTTAATTGAGGACCGGAGCTGGCATGTCAGATACTGCTAGTAGTCTGTTGTTATTTATGTATTATTGTCATTTTGTTTATTTTCTTTTGTTTCCTATTCTGACATCGGACTCGGACTTCACTTAAACTGAGTTTTACTGTGCGTACTGTTGTAAGTTTGTTTTTTCAACATTGGCTAGAGGTATAGGGGGAGGGTTGAGATCTCAAAAACCATGTTTAACCCCGCCGCATTTTTGCGCCTGCCCCAAGTCAGGAACCTCTGGCCTT